GCTGTACCCCACGGAGATCAGGTGAGTGGGGGGCTGTACCCCACGGAGATCAGGTGAGTGTGGGGGGGCTGTACCCCACGGAGATCAGGTGAGTGTGTGGAGGGGGGCCGTACCCCATGGAGATCAGATGAGTGTGGGGAGGGGAGCTGTACCCCACACATAACAGGTGAAGGTGTGGGAGGGAGTGCTATACTCCAGGGAGATGAGTATGTGGGAGCATGGGCTGTACCCCACTGAGATCAAGTAAGTGTGAAGGGGGGGCTGTGCCCCATGGAGATCAGATGAGTGTGGGGAGGAGAGGTTGTAAGCCACATATAACAGGTGAGGGTGTGTGAGGGAGGGCTGTACCCCAGGGAGATTAGGTGAGTATGTGGGAGGGTGGGCTGTACCCCTCTGAGATCAGGTGAGTGTGTGGAGAGGGGGTTTTACCCCACAAAGTTCAGGAGACTGTGTGGGAAGGCGGGCTGTACCCTAGGGAGATCAGGGGAGTACACAGGCCTCACCCCCTTTTCTTCTCCCTTTTGTGCCCTACCCTCTGACACCCCAGAGCCTGGATTTCCCAGGCCACAGCCAATGACCAGCCCACATTCCTCCAACAGGCAGATGGGAATGGGCTTTGCCTCAGTCAATGCCCGCCTTGGAGGTCTGGCTGCACCCCTGGTCACCACGCTTGGGGAGATCAGCCCTGTCCTGCCACCTGTGAGCTTTGGGGCCACCTCGATCCTGGCCGGGTTAGCCATCTGCCTCCTGACCGAGACCCGCAACATGCCCCTGCTGGAGACCATTGAGGCGATGGAGAGGAGGTGAGGGGCCTCCGGGTGCCATGGGCTGGGGGGACCTCAATAAGGAGAACTCCCTGCAGCCAAATAGGCTGCAGGTTAATGGGGAGCAGCTGAGGGGTACAGAGAAACACCAATATTCACCTAAAATTGGTCCTCAAGATGCCCTAGCGAGAACTAGGCTAGAGATGTAAAGCCTGCCTCCCCTCTGTCCACAAAAGACTTCAACAAGTACAGATCCAATAAAGCGCTAAACCAGAGAAACTATAATACACGTTGGTGGTGCTGGTGGTGTTAGGTGCCATCGAGCTGAGTAAGAGTCATAGCAAGCCTATGAGCAGCCGACCTGAACCCTGCCCTAACCTGTGTCATCCTCATCATCTCTGACGCACTAGAGCCATTGCTGAAGTCACCCTGTCAATCCATCTCATTGGACGTCTTCCTCTCCTTCACTGACCCTTCACCTTTCCCAGCATGATGCCTGTTTCAGAAGAATAGCCTTGTCTAGCTGCATGTCCACGGTGTAAAAGATGAAGCTTAACCATCTTTGCTTCCAAGGAGCACTCTGGCTACACTCTAGACCAAGAAAAAGAAAAATGTGTCTTGGAAGTGACAGCTGGCAGAGAGAAACAAGGATAGTGTCAGGGGCTGAAGAGGTGTCCCTAGTTTTGAGCAACACAAAGAACCAGGTCTCACAGGTCTGTGTCTGTCACAGACGACCTTCGAGCCAGGCTCTGAACCTCTCGGTAACAGGAAGGGAGACCCCAGAGTGGCTTTCTTTTGTATCAGGGAGGGAAAGGAATAGATGCCCCTTCAGGAGAAGAAAGGTGTTTGGTTTGCTATTTTAGCAGTCAGCCAGGGAAGACGTTTCGCTTGTGGATCTCCTTCCAGAGCTCACTGAGGGTAACAGAAGCCTTGCCCTCAACAGTTTCTCCAGAATGGGGGAGGGGACGCTGGCTGGCTGCCTCCGTCAACATCCTCAGCGGCAGGAGGTCTATGCCAGGCTCAGTGGAGGTTCTTGGGGTACCGGGTGGGAAATGCTGTTGCTTGTTGTTAGTGCTTTTGTATTGGCTGCGACTCACAGCTATGATTTAGTGGGTTATTCAGATACATATAAGGAGCCCAGGGAGCATAGTGAGTAATGTGTGTCAGGCTGCTAACTGGAAGGCCAGAGGTTCAAATCCACCAGGTGATCCTGCAGGGGACGGTGGGCAGTCTGTTTCTGTAAATATTTACAGCTCTAGAAACCCAGTGGAAGACTGCTGGGCGAGAAACAACTCACCAGGAGTGGTCTGGGTTTGGTTCTGCTAAGTCTGGCCGGAAATGGTAGACTTTGGCATGTTCTCTCTCTCATTACCATCAAGTCAAAATTGACTTGTGACTGGTCCTCGTTGGATTTGAGGCTGTAAATCACACAGGAGGACACTGCCCATCTTTCTCCCTAGGAGCCAATGATGGAGTTGAACAACCAGGGAGATTAGCCCTGGGGTTAATAGTTCACACTTTGTTAGACTATGAGTTGTAGTTGTTTACCATGGAGCTGGAACTGAACTATGGCTGACCCACCAAACATCAGGGAAGGAGATTGTCTTTCTCCCGTGGAGAAGCTGGTGGATTCAAACCATGCACCTTCAGGTTGGTGACACAGATCCTTCCCGCCAGAGTAGGTAGGGGCAAAAGAACCCTCTCCTGAGGGATCAGACAAGCACCAGTTGAGGTGTCTGGACAATGAGAACTGAAGGGCCTCACCCCATCCCATCTTTCTCCATGTCTAATCTTGGCACATAATGATGGGTGCTGGTCACAGGCCTAAGGTGTCAAGGTTTGAGATGAGAAGGAAATGTTCCCTTCCTGAGGTTCAAGGTATGAATCCCAAAGATGGCAGCAAGCCAAGAGGGATTAGTTGTAACACAGCTCTTAGTGCTGGTTCCCGAGGTAAAGAGATAACAGGCTTTTCCTGGGTTTATTTCATAAGCTGGCAAACTTCATCCGTAAGTAATTTATTTCTGTTTAGACTACTGGGTTCTCCATTCCTCAGATGAGCCACTACTTCCTCAGAATAGTCTGATTCCTGGTGGGTGCTGGGCTTTCCTGAAATGCCCAGTGGGGCTTTTGACTCAGTTTGCTGGAGTGACATTACAGTGGGACAGGTGGCTGGTCTTGTTCAAAAGTTCCCTTTATGTAACAATAGAGCATTGAAAAGGGAGGAAGTGCAACCAGCCAGTCAACAAAGGGGAAGTGTCCATGCAGTCTACATCAAAGGGATACAAGAGCCATCATTTTTCAACATCAAACAAAGCAAAAGAAAACCCGCAGCTGTGGGTTGATTCTACTCACAGCAATTGGACAGGCCAGAGAACTTCCCCACAGGGTCTCCAAGGTCTGGCACCCTTATGGAAGCCCAATGCCTCACCTTTCTGCTGAAGAAAGACAGATTCAAACCACCCATCTCTCAGCAGTGAGTGCCTACCCATTTTAAAAGGAAAAAAAACCAAACCAACCCACAGCCATGGAAGCTGTACTGACGTAGGGTGCCCCCCACCATTGGGTTCCACAGCTCTAAAGCAAGAGGACACTGCCCATCTTCCCCCACAGGGCAGCTGATGAGGCGGAACAGCCAGCCTTTGGATCAGCAGCACAACACATAATGCACGACACCACCAGAGTTCTTACGTTAAAGATGGTGCTAGATAATGCCGGAGTGAGAGTAGGCTGTTTGGCAAAACAGATTATGAGCTGGGAAAATGTTCAAATTCTGCTAAAAAGCAATGGCATTGCCAGGAGTCTGTCCTAAGGCAAAGAGAGAGCTCTGATGGCACAATGATTAAAAGCACTCAGCTACCAACCCAAAGGCTGGCAGTTTGAACCCACTAACAACTTGGTGGGAGGAAGATGTGGCAATCTTCTTTTTTTCGGTGCCGAAACCCAGGAAAGAACCAGGCAATCTGCTTCTTCCAAAACGCTGTAGGGCTGGGGCTCATCGGGTTACATTTCGGATATCAAGGAGAAGACTGAATTTAAGGTCACATAATAGGATGACTTCATTATTTTTGTTCACTTAAGCAGTAAAAAGTGGGTCTAAGCAAACCTCACTAGTTGTTTTTTTTAAAACCAGGCTACTCCTTGCAGATTGTTCTTGTGTATTGTTGAGTCAGAACCGACCCATAATTGACCTTTCAGCAGGTTTTCAGAGTCAGTTAATCAGTTAATCACACAAGAGGAGATTGGCTGTCCTCCTACAAAGCAGCTGGTGGATTCAAACTGTGTGCCTTCAGGATTGCAGCATAGCTTCTTGCCACTAGGCCACCAGAGCTCCCTATGAGTGCTCCTGATCCAGACCATGGTCTTCACCATTACCTGCTATGATGCATCAGAGAGCTGGACAATGACTAAGGACAACAGAAGAAAATTGATGCTTTTGAGTTGTAGTGCTGGAGAAGAGTCTTGAATATTCCATGGGCTGCCAAGAAAACAAATAGGTCTGTCTTGGAGAGAGTGAAACCAAGTTTCTCCTTGGAGGCTAGGATTTTGAAGCTCAATCACACATACTTTGGGCACATGGCCAGGTAGGACTGGTTGGAGAAGGACATCATGCTTGGGACAGCACAGGAAGACCTCAGATCAGATAGATTGATACAGTTACTGGGGCAATGAGGGTATAGGTGTGCTGGAGTCAGTGAAATGGGCTCAGGACAGGGCAGGTTTCAGGACTGTTGTACATAAGGTCGCTGAGTCACAGGTAACTCGATGACATAAAACAACAACTCCTTGGAGAGGGGCATCATGCTCGGAAAGGTGGAGAGACAGGAGAGGAAGGCCCTCAGTCAGATGGACTGACACAGCATCAAGCAGTAAGGGCTCGACTGTGTCAGAGATGTGAGAATACCACAGGCTAGGACAGGGTTCAGGTCTGTTCATGGGGTTGCAAGGAGTCATCCTAGACTTGATGGCCCCTAACAGCGATGACAACAATTCTAGCATGGGGCAGGAGTGGTTCAGCAGTAGAATCCTCATGTCTTCATGGGAGCCTAGTTTGACTCCTGGTCAGAGCACATGGCGCGCTGTCAGTGAAGGCTTGTGGTGATGCTGATTCAGTTTGCGGAGCTGCTGAACCCAAGAAAGATGTGCAGTTCATCCTACCAGCTGCTCCGTGGTAAAACGATGTAGCCATGGTACTGACCCTCCGACATCTGGGCAGGGAAGCAGGGCACAGCCCCCAGGGGTCTGGCTAGGCTGAACGCAGAGTCTAGCAGCTAACCTGAGGAGGACAAAGGGGCTCCCGACCTGCCCAAGAGACCAGGAGGAGGGCTGCTGAGGGGGTCCCAACTTCTTTTTGGCTCTGGGTGGGTGGGGTTACTCCCATGACTCATCCCCAGCTCCATTCCACTCTGTCCCATGAATACCTTTTCATTCCACCAGAGCCAAAGGAGGCCCCAGCACGAAGGTTGTGGAAGAGAAGAGCGAAGAAATTTCCCTCCAACAGATGGGAGCTTCTGCTCTCAAAGAAACCATCTAGAGGGCTGGACTTCTGAGGTCTGACTGTCCCTGGACACTGCTGTTGAACACAAATGAAGCAGCCAGGGCTGGAACCATGGGAAACCCAACTAGCAAAGCCCGCTTTACATGACTGATAGCCCATCCCAGCTCCCGCAGGAGGGACTGTTTTCATAATAATATAAGTACCTTTCCTTTTCCATCCCTCCATCTGTGCCCTTGAGACATCTCAGTTCCTTCTCATTCCCCCTGAACAGCTGAGTCTTTGCAGAGTTGGGGTAACGGGGTTGCCCCATTGTGGCCCTACCCCACACCCCTCATCTACCAGGCCACCTTTTGCATCTTATCCCCAAAACAACTTCTAGAACTCAACCCACACCATGCTCTTCCCCTCCCCACACAATTAAAGCCGTCTTCTCCCATGTGAGTGGTCTGCCTCCTTAACTGGCAAATATCTCCACGTTTTAAGGCTTTGCTTGCTCAGTGTCACATCTACCACAGCTCCAGAGAGTAGACCTGCTCAATATGTTGTGGATGAATAAATGATGATGCCAGTTCCACCCAAAGAATAAAGTCCTTTGCCCTCTGTTCACATTCCTAGCAAATGTTTCAGAACTGAGACCTGGTTTGGCTCCACATAGTGACATGGTGCGAGACCCAGCCAGGGTCAGTGGCCATGTGGTGCTTTGTAGTTGTTGTTGTTAGATACCATTGAGTTGGCCCTCAGCCCATGGCAACCTCATCTATAACAGACCCAATCACTGCCCAGTCCTGTGCCATCCGCAGGAGCTTCAGGACATTTGAGCCCACTGGTGTGGCCACTGTCACAATCCATCTTGCCTTCACTGACCCTCACGTCACAAAACATGGTCTACAGCTGCTGGTCTCTCTTGATTATACATCCAGGAAAAGCCAATCTAGCTCTTTGAGGATGTTCTCTGATCCACAGGGCTCTCATTGGCTGGTTTAGGGAATTACAGCACTAAGTCTGTCTTTCTCTCTCTTCCTTCCTTCTTTCCTTCCCTCCCTCCCTCCTTTTCTTCCTTCCTTCCTTCTCAGTGTTAATCATAGTTTATTATGATCCACATAGCCAAATGTCTTTGCATAATCAATAAAACACAGTATCTTTCTGATATTCTCTGCTTTCAGTCAAGATCCATCTGACATCAGCAGTCACAACCTCTTTGAATCCAGCTTGAATTTCTTGCAGTTCCCTGTCAATAAACTGTTTTGTTTTGGTTTTTATTTTTTAGCACTAGGTCTTTCTTCCTTGTCTTAGTCTGGAAGTTCCGCTGAAACCTGTCCATTATGAGTGGTCCCTGTGGGTGTTTGAATATAGTTCCTGGCATCATACTGCCTTGAACGCCACCACAGCACAAGAAAGAGACAGACAAATGGTGATGCCTCAGCACAGAGACACCAAGTGCCACTTAACTATTATCTAAAATGAGCCCCACAGCCACAGAGTGTCCCACCATTCACACTGCAGTCACGGGTCTTTGTTTCATTTCTTCCTTTATAATGTGTGCGACAGGAACCCCAAGGAACCGGCATCTTTTCCTTATTCTCCTTTTCACAGTCTGTGTGGGTTGTTGTTGTGTACCATCGAGTAGAACCAACCCACAGCTGGCCCTCCAGTGGGTTTTCAGAGGCAGTAAACTGCACAGGAGGAGACTGCCTGATAAATTCTAAACCTTAAAGTGGTTCATTGTGGCCACTTGTGGACTCATCCAAACCCTGGCCTGGGTATCGCTTCTTCCTGTGTGTGTACTTGACATTGGCCTATGGTTTCGCCTCTCATGTTTACCACAGTTGAGTAAAAGAGTTGGAAGTTATCACTTTTGCTTGCCAGGTAGCTCCAATGATGGCTTTAGGCAGCTTTGGTGGCCTCGTGGTAAGAAGCTGCCCTCCCTCCAATCCCAAAGGCAGGAAGTTCAAATCCACCAGCTGCGGGAGAAACATGAGCAATCTCCTCCAGTGCAAGTTACTTCCCCTGAAAACCCACTGGAGGGTCGGCTATGAGTCAGTGCCAACCTGATGACACACAACAAGAGCAGTAACAACCCAGGAAGGGCAGATTGATTTAACCTCAAAAAATATCAGTAACCAACTTCCAAAATGAAGATTCGATGGGGAGCTCTGATGGCCTAGTGGCAAAGAAGCTATACTGCAATCCCCGAGGCACACGGTTCGAATCCACCAGATGCTCTGCCGGGGAAGGAGGGACAATCTCCTCCTGT